TACGATTTATCACATTCTGTAATGATGATTTTTACATCGAGATACATACCTCAATATAATTAGATATTCTACTAAAGCATACCATTATTATATTGAGTGCTACGATATATAGATATATATATACATTTTTTTCATCGCATATGAGGTATTAATTGTGTTTGCTACTATATAGAGGCGGCGAAAACACAGTTTTCTGATTAAATATTTGTATTCATTTAGAATGGAGGCTCTTACTTTTGACTTATTTGTTGCTGAGATCAGCGAATAATTACAGAGAATCAGGTTATACTTGTCTTCATACACATAGACTCTTTACTTGATCGAATATCATTCCATTCATTTCTTTTGCTTCGTATAGTACTATAATGCCACGAAGTATTTATTTCTCAACTGAACTGAAGAAAGTTTTGTTTCGTGTTATTACCTTTGTTGAAAATGAAAAAGATGGACCACTGATACCTCTTAATAACTGTAATGCTCGGCTTGTGGCTATGCTTGGAATCTCAGAAACTTCTTTGTTACGGTTGAAGAACGAGATGAAAATGCTACAGGTTGCTCAGGAAGAACTCCAACCACATCATCTTTGTTCAAAATCGAAAGTATGAAGACCATCAAAACAAAAAGCACGATTTTTTCTGCAGTATCAGCATTGATGACGAATGTGCTTCCCGATCCCCATTCTCCAAAGCAACCAGTAGGTCGATCATCTGTGCACTTATCCAAACAAGCTGACAGTGAGATCAGATATCAATTCCAGCTATTGTTGAGTGAAAAAATTTATCCAACGACAACAAATATTCTTGAAAGATTGCGCGCTGCTCATGATGATTTTCCAATCCAATCTAAAACAATTCTTTGTCGTAATCTTCATCGAATAGGTTTCCGTTATAAATCTACAACAAAAGTCAAAATTCCACTTGATCACGTTTCATTTGTTGCTCAACTTGCGAAATTTTATCGCAAGATCGATGAGTTACGGATGGCTGATGCGCTTATTTTTTATCATGATGAAAGTTGGTCAAATGTTGGAGAAGAAAAAGGATCTATCTGAGTGGACAACGAAGGTAGAGCAAGAATTCGAAAGAACGACGGTAAAGATATGATTTTGTTTTGACCCTGTTACTAAAAATGACCAAAACATCCTCACAGGTAGCCGCATCGCTATCTCAGTGATGATGAATATCAATGACTTTCACTTACCATCTGCCGATATATTTTTATGCTCAAAATATCATTCGAACAATGCTGAATATGTTCTTAATTGGATAGAAAAAACTGCATTTCGTCTTTGAGAAGATAATGGTAACAATTCTTTTGCATTTCATAACCTAACGATAAAAACCGCTTACTATTTATCATACAGATCCACGTAAACGTATCTGCATCGTTGTAGATAATGCTCCTTGACATTGTGAACTTGAAGATGATTCGAAACCCGCAAGAAGATCTTGAACAAAACAGAAAAGAGAAAACTGTTTAAGTGATCAAAGCGTCTCATTCGACGAATCGTGTTCAAAAGCAGAACTTCTTGAACTTCCTCTTGCTAATCGTCCTTTAAAGCGTAATAAGGTAAAGCTAGGAAAAAGCTGTTAGCGCAATCCCTTGCGGGATTAAAAATGTGAAACACGATGGATCTGCTGCTACTAATTAAATGGAAATCGTTTTGTTCCATTTCTTTGCAATCCATTTGTAGCGAACCTTTTAGCTGATGGTTTAGAACTACAGTTTCTCTGTCACGGTCTGTGATGGGTCTAGAGCCTGTTTGTCAGGGCCTATGATGGGTCCAAAGCCTGTCTGTCACGGTCTGTGATGGGTCTAAAGCCTGACTGTCACGGTCTGTGATGGGTCTAAAGCCTGTCTGTCACGGTCTGTGATGGGTCTAAAGCCTGACTGTCACGGTCTGCGATGGGTCTAAAGCCTGTCTGTCACGGTCTGTGATGGGTCTAAAGCCTGTCTGTCACGGTCTGTGACGGGTCCAAACGCTGTCTGTCACGGTCTGTGATGGGTCACGTGAGTGTCTGTCATGGTCTGTGGGGGGCGAGGGGTGCAAAATTTCTACCCTATACACTTCAACACTCCTTTTAGATCGTGTTTCACAAAAAGCATACGATTGCCATACTTCACTATTGCTCATTTCAGATAGATCACGTTGCAATGCAATATAATGTAGAAATTATTCGTCTCCCAGTGAAGCATTGTTGTTTGAATCCAATTGAATTATGTTGGACCAGTCTGAAAGATTATGTTCGCAAGAATAATACACTATTTCGAATGACTGATGTACGTGATCTTGCTGCTGAATTCATTGCAGGTTACGATGGTGACGCTTCCGCCAAGGCAATAGCACATACACGAAAAATCGAGAATCAATTTAGAGATGCTGATCGGTTTATTGAAGAACATCTTGAATCTGATTCGATGGATTATGCTTCGGACGACGAATCTAATGTCTCGTCAGAAGATGATGAAGAAAATAGTAACAGTTGATCATATATATTTTGCATTTTTGAGTTATCGAAAAGACTTCCGTGATCCAAATGATTGTAATAGAGTTGAAATAAACTGTATTCTCGGCATGATATACTTGATGAAAAAATGTTTATATATATATATCTATATATCGTAACACTCAATATAATAATGGTATGCTTTAGTAGAATATCTAATTATATTGAGGTATGTATCTCGATGTAAAAATCATCATTACAGAATGTGATAAATCGTAGAATTTCTATACGTAGAAAATCTAGAAATATTCATAATATTTAATAATCAGTTTTTTGCTTCTCATATTTTGCATTTTTTTATTTTTATGTGCGAATGAAATTTTTTTAAAACACGTTTCTGAATCTCAGTATTCATAATCATTTATCATCTAAGTCATCGCTTTGGTAGAGCTTGTAATTTTCGAATGCATTCTAGGTGATCCTGTGGTAATGATTGTTTTCAGCTCAGAGTAATACTCATTATTATAGAGCATCCGAAGCTCGATGCAGCTTGATGACGATAAGACAACAAGAAGCTAGCTATTTGAGCCTGGCATAGAAGTATAGATTTGACATTTCTCTATCTAATGAGAATATCAAAATCAAAAATTTATTTTAGTGGCATGCAGTTTCCCTGGGTTCTAAGATAAGATTCACAAAAATGACAGTGTTCAAAATGACTTTGTCTTATACAATTTTATGCAAAAAAACATCACTGGCTCTCCTCTTTCTATTGCTGAAAACCGCAGATTGCTAGCTATTGCGGTTATCGAGTTATTACGTTTACACCAAGGGGGAAACGGCGGATTTTTGGGATTGCCAATCCATGAAAAATCCAAAAAAATCCAGAAAATCCCAAAAATCCCAAGACCCTCACCAATGTCCTCTTGTAGATGAAGGAATTTCGAGCTGAAATTTTTATCATATGTAGGCCTTGTGGTCCTTAAAATATTCTGATAGTTTCAATGTAAACGAATGTTTCCTTCTTAAGATAATCAACTTTCAAGGAAAGTGGATTTTCTGACCGTGCTGCGAAATATGAGTATTTCTTGCGATCGCATTATCTTCAGGAGAAAACATTCGTTTGCGCTGAAACTTTTAGAATATTCTAAGAACCACAAGACCTACATATGATAAAAATTTCAGCTCGAAATTCCTTCATTTTCAAGAGGACATTACTGGTGGATTTTGAGGATTTTCAAAATCCAAAAATCCAAAAAAAAATCCGAAAATCCAAAATCCGCCGCTTCCCCCTCGGTTTACACCCGCCCTTCTCTCATTCTGGCGCTGACATTCGTTAATTGTATTTAATTGTCGGTTCGGTGGTGACACTGGCGAAGACGATACTTTCCCGATCCTTGCAAATTAATGGGTCAGTTTATTGTTTACAACAAATGAATTTGTTTTCTTTTATAGGTTAATCTCAAAAAGAGTTTCAAGCGTA